CTTATCATGAGTGTGGTACGTTTTTCAAGGCCTATTGTGAAATATAAAATATTAAAATATAAATTTAATAAAAGAATAAAATCAAGTGGATTAATATTAAAAAAAAAAAATATATTTTTAATTCTTTCAATATCAAGATTGTTTTTTTATGCGATAGCTCTGTTACCAGATAAGATCATGGTAATATTTTTAGGGTGAAAATGAGGGATAACTTCAGATCTATTTTTTAGCATTAGGTCCAAACTATTTATTTGATGTTGTTTGAAATTTACATGGATTTGAACACCCTAATTAAAAATAAATAAACAATAAACAAGGGATTGATAGAATTATATGAAAAGAATTTTAAATTGAATATGTGCCAAATAGATTCAGTATTAACTTAAGTTAGTTCAAAATTCTTTGACAATTTGAATGAAAATAAACTTTAATTCAAAATAAGTAGATTTTAAATTCCGAAAGATTCCATTCTGATATACACCATATATTTTATATTACATGTCCTGTAGATAAATTTTATTTTAATGTTGACACATTCAGAAAACTCAACACTTTGGTATGTTTAGCAATTTATGAAAATGACTGTTTGACGAGTCATGAATGCACAAATTATCATAAGCGCAACAATGATTTATGACTATAAGGGTAGGGTGACCCGTTATATAAATTTGGCTCAAATTTAATTTAGGCTGATTATTTTCGCAAACATACATATTTATTTTTGAGCTTTATTCTGTAAAATTAAAATATTCAATTTCAAACAAAGGTAAAAAAGAACAACTAACATATCAAAATAATCTAATAACTATCACAAAAATACAAAAAAACATTGCACTTGATTATAATCCAATCGAATACAATTTGTGATGAGGTAGAAAGTAAGGATGTTAAACCGTTTACCAGATTTTAAATCAAATATATTAAACTCACGGTGAAATGCTTCAGAAAGTTTAAGGTTATTACTAACATTATAAGACATATTCACATATATAATAGGTTAAATATTAGATATTCAGGAAGTAAATAAATTATCTTTTAGGTTCTAAATTAAAATTTTGAACCTTTTTTTACCTATATTTAATAGTTTTTTTTTTTTTTTTTGAATCACAAATATTGATTTTTGGAAAAAACTTTATTAAAATCAAATTTAATCCATTCTCACCATAATACGTATTTAAAATTGACTGTCAGTATTTGTAGGTTATTTTAGCGAAATTAGGATTTATAGAACATGCATTTTATTTGTTCATCTTTTTTGCCTGTTATCATTTACTATTAGTGTTTATTCGAAATTGATATAGATGGTTGAATAAAATTATTGATTATTTTAAATCTGTTTCTTTTCTTGTTCTTAGCTTTTTTTGCTGATAACTATATAATTTTTTTTTTAAACATCTTGAGGGATTGGAATTAATACTGAACACTTATCGGGAATCATTGTGTCAGCCAGGAAGTGTTTCACGCTCCTGACTTTGTAATAAACTAATATAATTCTGGAGTCAGTGCAAATTTATGTAGGATTATTTTTTTAAAAAATTCACGTCGTTTATAAACTTGGCAGAACAGGTTTAGTAAATATTCGCATGGCGCCTCTCTTTTTTCACAACTAAAATTTTAATTGAAACATATTTGTTTAGTTTAGCGTTTCTCTTGTTTCACAACTAGATTTCTCCTGAAGAAAAAAATTTTTTTTTTTTTGAAGCTATTAATGACCAATTTAATTGTGCATACTTAAGTAAGGAACCCGCGTCTCTTTTTTTTTAATTGATACATATTTTGTTCAATAACTAATTTAATTGGTGCATACTTTCATTTATAAAAACTTGGCAGAACAAGTTTAGTAAATATTTGCATAGCGACTTTCTAATTTCACAACTAAAATGTTTAATTAAGGTATATTTGTTTAGTATAGCATTTCTCCGTTTATCTTGTTTTACAACTAGATTTCTCCTGATAAAAAAAAATTTTTTTGAGCTTATCAATAACAAATTTAATTGGTGCATACTTATAAAAAGCTTGGCAATCTAGATTAGTAAATATTGCATGGCGTCTCTCTTGTTTCGCAACTAAAATTTTAATTGATGCATATTTGTTTAGTATGGCGTAGAGTGTTCAAAATTCTGCGGTGCATAATTCTGCTCGCTCTAAAAATATTTTTTTGTATTGTATTTGGTTTTAAAAATGATTAAAGTCACATTTATCTTATGGAGACAATACAAAAGATATTTTTAGAGCGAGCAGAATTATGCACCGCAGAATTCTAGACACTCTAGTATGGCGTTTCTCTTGTTTCACAGCAAGATTTTTTTTAAAACTTATCAATAACAAATTTAATTAGTGCATACTTACGTCTTTTTTTTGTGTGGCATAAAGTGTCCAGAATTCTGCGATGCATAATTCTGCTCGCTCTAAAAATATTTTTTTGTATTGTATTTGGTTTTAAAAATGATTAAAGTCACGTTTATCTTACGGAGACAATACAAAAGATATTTTTAGAGCGAGCAGAATTATGCACCGCAGAATTCTGGACACTTTAGTGTGGCATTTCTCTTGTTTCACAATTTTCCCCAATTTAATTGGTAAATATTGCATGTTGTCTCTTCTGTTTCACACCGAAATTTTTAATTGATGCATATTTGTTCATTTAGCTAATTTTAATTAGTACATACTATCGTCTATAAAAATATTGCATGGCATCTCTCTTGTTTCACAGTTAAAATTTTTAATTAATGCATATTTGCTTATAGCGATTCTCTTGTTTCACTACTAGGTTCTTCTGATAAAATTTTTTTTTTTTTTTGAAGCTTATCAATAGCCAATTTAATTGGTCTCTTTTACAACTAGATTTCTCCTGGTGAAAATCTTTTTGAAGCTTATTAATGACAAATTTAGTCAATATTGCATTGCATCTCTCTTGTTTCACTAACACATGTATAGTTGGGTGACTCGTTATTCTTTTTCAGCCAAAATTAAAACTCAGTATGGGCTAAGTCACCCATCTAAACTGATCATGGCTTTAAATTTTTCAGTCACATGGTGTGGACGCCTTCCTGATTAGTTGTTTTTATTGAACTCATTAATTTGCATATGATAGCCGATCTTTTCAACTAATAACAAAGTTTTGGGTATGAAGATAGAAAACTGGCCAACGAAATCAGATTAAGAAACTAATTTAATTTCTAAATTCGAGAAGTAAAATTTTATTTCATAGGTTATGTATTTTATTTTGAAACTGGTTTAATTATTTCTTTAGATTTTATGACATGTGCGCAGGTCGTTCTTTTTTTTCTTGCTTTAAGAATTATAGAAATATTTTCTAACAGTTAAATAAATTTGATGTTATCGATTTATAGAAATATCTGACTAAAAAGTAGACAGAAGTATAATTATGCTTTAAATAATTTTATTTATTTTATTCTTAAAATATTTACTATAATAGAAGTTAATCATGATGTTTATGATCTGATAGGTTCGCTTTAATTTGTATTGTTCTATTTACTCTCATATGATGATATTATAATGCCTGACGAGAGGTGTTTTTTTTTTATTATAAAGTGAATACTGTATAGTCACGAAATAACACGCGCAGGGGTGTAATTTCGAATTTTGCCCTAAATTATGCTTAATTCAGGCTGAAATTCGAAATAACGCACTTGCACATTATTTCGCGACTATATAGAAAGTACAAAAAACCAATATTATTATATTGCAACCCTAGTTTTACCATAGTAAAACTTGAAAAATTTTTTATTGATTTATCTATATATATGATACTTAATGAAAAATCATTTTTTATCGAGTAATTCTCATAATTTTTCTGATCTTTTAATCGCTATCAATATCGATTATTTCTTTATTTACTATTTGATTCATTACTTCAATTTGACTTTGCCACCATATCTTATTCTCTTCTGGATCTTCATCTTCATCTGTTTCATCTGTTTCATCTTCAATCTTCTCGTAGGATTCATTTCGAATCTTGTCAATTAATGTTAATTGATTATTATTTCTTTCAAGGTAATCGTTTTTTTTTTCAAGATTATAATTACTATCAGCAAGCGTTCTAATATTTTGTTCTTTAGTAAAAATATAATCTTTTTGAAACACATTTTCTTTCTTTAAATTTTCTAATGCACTCAGTTTTTAACTAAAAATTAAACAAATACAGTTAAAAAATCTTATTTAAAGCCTTGCCACTAGAGCCTAATGATCCTGACCCAATACAATTTATCAATTGTTTTTATTAAATTAATTTTCTTTAATATTCGATACCTACATTGTTACTCAATATCCAATTATCAGCTTTCAAGTTTTTCACATCTTGTTCTAATTTTTCAATATCGATTTCCATTTCATTTATCTTATTGGTTTTTGTTTCAATTTCGATTTTCATTCGGTCTACTTGATCATTTAAATTCTTATTATCTACTTCTATAGTGCTAATTTGACTCTTAAGAGATGTATTTTCATCTTCTAACCTAATTAATTAAATAATATTAATAAATAATATTGAAATAAAATCAAAGTTGTAATATAAAAATATTTTACCTTTTAATTTTTTTATCATATTCATTTTTTTTAGCGACAAATGCTTGCTTTAAGTCTTGTTTCTTTGACTTCGCATCAATCTTATTCAATCTAAGATCTTCTATTAATCTTTTGTAGTCATTTATTACACTGTCTATATATTCATTAAGTTCCTTTGAACTATTTCTTCTTTTTTGTCATCTCATATAACTGATACGAGCATAAATATCATCAATTAAACCAGCTATACTATCTTTTTTCCTTTTAATAGCCTTCTTTGAATTTTTCTTAGTGATCTTATTATTGCTGAACATTTTTTGAATTAATCACCGCTTAGATTCATTTAACAGTTTAAATATTATCATTACCACGGTGATAAATAAAAATTATAGTGATATCTGAAATTTATTTTCTCACTGAGAAAATGTTAGATACTGGGACAAATTCATCCTTCATAGTAACTAACACTCCGCCACTGGTCTGAGAATGTTAGTTACTCGGTTATGAATTTGCCCGAACCTTTTCCAAATTTAAATAATAAAGAATATAAAGTTAGTGTTATATATAAAAACTACGAAAAAAAAATAAAATATAAATAACTTTCCTTATGTATAAAAAATAAAACTTTTCTCGTTAAAAAATCAAATATCTTGGACATAAAACTGAAAATAGAGCAATTTTAAAGTATTTCATTATATTAAAATCACGTTTTACATGCTATACGTGACCTTTTTTTATAGATATACAATGTATAATATCGATATATACTGATTATATATTTTTTATTGTAGAAATATAATACTTGATATTTTATTCTAATTCGATAAAGTCAAGTAATATAATATTTATATTATATTTAACATTAATAAACTAAAATTTTGAAAATCACTTCTCTAGTTTTTTAATATAATGCCTC